TTTGCCAATGATTTGTGACAGCTTTACTCTCGAACCAGCTGGCATATGGATCCATTTGTGTTTAAAATTCTAACGACAGCGGCGATTCTTCGCGCAGCTAGTGGAGGAGTCATACCGACTTTCGCAGTGTGTGTTTGATTTTAATACATCTCATTTATCTCATATCCCATTGTGTTATTGTGTTTATTTTTGCTAGTAGGTAAACCTGCTGACTGCATTTAAAGGCACACCCTGTGTGCGGGCTACACAAATTAAGTTTAAAAATTCACATAGCAGTTATCTGTTTAGGGTCCATGGAACGCATGGGTTGAGAGGTTCACCACATGCAGTGAGGATGACAAAAGGATATTCCTTAAGATTTCTCACTTCAACCCCAGTAAAAAGTACGAAAACCAGGTGTGGAATGGATTTATGAACGTAACAGTAGAAATGGATGACACATGGTGGGTGAGTATAGAAAAATAGGTGAAAAAAGATACGACATTCGAAGAAAGTACAAAATTTTGCTTTTCACAATCACTTTGCTTGTCCCTAATGCAAAGCACGCAGGACACGACGCTCAGCCGCTCAGCCGCTGAGCGTCGTGTGTGCTTCCATTAAAGACAAGCGACTTCATTGTTTCAAAAAGGCAGAACCACACGAAGAGTTTGTCGTAAAACACGTTGCCAGAACTCTTCGTGATTTTTGGTAAATCACAACTTTTCTATGTTAACACTTGAACAGCCGACACCTGGCTCTCATTTTTGAAAGCGGTTCCCGCGAAGTAACAAATTGACTTCCTTAACATTTTAGGAAATTTTCTCAAAAATCTTTTGTGCGAGACTGGGAAATCAAAGGTAGGACTTAAATTGTCCCCTTTAAAGATGTTTAAAAGTTTAATACCTTTAGAAAAAGACAAGTCTCCAAAGCCCGTAAAATGTAGCACGTTTGTTGCATTTTCGTGCCTTTCCCAGGGATGTTGATTCGTTGATTTTTTTGTCTAGAGGATGGCTTGACGCGTGTGTTAAGGGGGGGGGGGGGCTTAGCCCAAATGTTGAAGCCTTCATAATGGTTTCCCCCTCAAATGCTTTAAAATTTCTGTCATTTTGCGTGCAGTCTAAAGGTGTGCTGGACGTTCGCAGCAACAACCAGTGGAAAGAAAATGCCTTTGTATTCTTCTTCCCGAAGAACGGCTGCAGTGGCGCTCGCGAGATCTTAACGGAGATGTTCTCTAAGTACTTTAGCAAGAAAGGGACGCCATGTCGCCTCGTAAAGGTTCGCTGGCTACACCGCTATTCGCTATCGAAAACTATTTGAAAGTCTCCCCTCATTGAATCTTTGAATCAACACTAGTTGGCTAATGGATGTTCACTTTCTTTCTTTCCACTTTCAGAGGTGTGTTTACTTTGAGAATACCACAGTGGCCCACGAGTATCCGCGCTTTCCTATAATGCCATATGGCTACTACCGTTTGAAGATTACAGCTGGGGTAACTGGCGCACAAGAACCACAGTATTGCCTTAACATGTTATGTCATATAATTCCTAAAATTGGATCATAAGTAAAAATAAGTTGTTGTAGTAACATCATAGTCAAATAATAAATTTTCGTAAATTTTCCTTCATACTCGTTATGTTCGATACGTAACACAGCAAACAATCATCAATCAAAATTATATCAAAATGACGTAAAGTGACGTCAAAATGACGTCCAGTGAAGTCAAAATGACGTCAAATTGATGTAAACTGGTTGAGCATTCCTCGCTGGGTAACACATTATACAAAAACACAGAACACAGTGCATTCTGCTCGGGATGATAAGTACTTCGCGAATATGATCATGCTGGAATTAGTACGACACAGTGCTGTAGCAGGATGAATGGTTTTCGAGAAATTAAGGATTGAAACAAATGCCCCTAACAGAGACCTGCATCGGGCGAGCTGTCGGGCCGGGGTGCGCGCGTGAGCAAGCGAGGCGGAGCACTGTCGCCTGTCTTTGCCTAGCGAGTGCAGTGGAGGGGGAGCCTCGCAG